GTACACTTGTGTGTCTTACTCTATGTACTTTTTTTAATTTTGTTTGAGGATTTACCGCACAAAATGGCAATGAACGCACTGTTGCTTTTTCATTATAGTGAAGAAAAAAACCCTGATATAAAACCGAACCAATTTTCTGGGTTTGTTTGTAAACCAGAGACGTATAAAGCGTTATATACGTCTCTGTGTAAACCGACCATTACCTCAGCTAATGTGATGCATGGTCCAGCCGACTGCGTATTCAACACCCGTATCGTACATGTGGTAGGTACATTTGTACGCTACAGCTACCCGATTTGGGGGATTATTATTCAATCAAATCGTGAACTTGTGTATAATCAACACAGTCCAGATAAAAAAAAACCAAGCCAAATTGTCAAGCTTCATTGAACGGTACGCTCCCTCCCCCTCCCCCCTAAGAATATAAAGTAAAGCTAGAAAATTGTAGTTTCGCATCTAATTATGTGGCACCGAAGGGGTTATTTTTGCAAGAACATATACATACACGATAAGAAAATCAATGCTAAGTGTTTATTACGACCATATCGATGTCCGTAATAGGACTGTCATAAGCTGGTAAATGCTTAAAACGGTTGTTTTTATTTTGTAAGCAAACCAGTTATACAGTGCAAAGAAGTATATAGGGCTGATTATAGCATTTTGAAATTATAGCAAGTGAAATGATATACATTTGCAATCAGTATTAGTCAAAGTTAAGTTAGTTTATTACTTATAAATCCACATTCTATACATTCCATTGGCAAGACAATGTGTAAGCGTACCTGTATACATATGTAATATACAAAACGTCATCCGATCAATTACCTCCTGTGCATAACTGATCAAATTAGAACACTTTCAAACCGAACCCTCTCTAAACCGGGTTAATATCCATATCCCATGTATGATCGGGTTAGAGAAGTTCCACTGTGCATAAAAAACGGACGACCTATACATACATACAGAAAGACAGTCAGACAATACACATTGTACGGAACATAGGGTTACCAAGTCTCTGTGACCGGTACATGTCGTAATAGGTTTGTTATCCACATGCAAAATAGTTCTGCTTACATCAGTATACTAACTTTATTACACATTTGTATTACAGTAGTGGTTATAAACTCGCAACAAATGGAGCAAAGTAATATGACCTAGAATGTCAAATATATACCCATGCAGCAAAAAGAGAGATATATTTCTTTAATTTATTTGTTTTTCATACGATACTCTTATTTCGTGTGCTATTAATTCGTTGATTAGTTGATTTATCCCTCGCACGGACTAAGGCTTAACGAAGTCCCGTAATCGGAACACGATCTAAAAGCAATGGATGATATTGGACAGTACCAATTTATTGAAATCTTGGGATTTTGACATCTGAAGTTGTTTGTGGCCATTCCTTAGAAAGTACTTATGCATTTTTCTCACAATAAATCAAGCGATCATACTTCAGATGTCGCATAGGAAGTACGTATATTATAACCTATAATCTTATTAATCTATATAATAGGTATGATCTGAAATAAAAGAAATGAAACAATCTGTGTGAAATCCCTTCTTAACAGCTATTATATTCAATTAGCACAACTATTAGTTTTTCCTTTGTTATAAGTGTGATTTGCTTTTATCAACACGACATTTTTTACCGTGACATCTACGAATTGCTCAGTTCCATCGTCAGACTATATTCTTTTTACATATAACCATCGCATTGATTCTCTTAAGTAACTTAAGTAAGTTAAGGAGCGTAGTGACGCAAAGGGGAGTTAACTCCAGCGTAACCCTTACTTTACAATAAAATTTATCTTTTGAATTCTTTTTGTATATTGTCATATAACATGTACGTTACTTTTACAATCTTCAATGAATGCATATATGTATTGTTCTGTCTTCGATTCGGAGGAAATAAAGAGAATAATAATAACGATTAAAATGAAAATCGTCACTGGGTTAAAGCCAATAAAATTATATATACCGCATAAGTCATTTACGATTAATATTATGTACTCTAATGATAACATTAACATACATGTATACTGCCGACCTTTTCATCTGTGGCTTTACTAGTTCGTGAGTCTTCGGATCTCTCTAACAATCTTGTTTTTAAATTGAATTATATGTCAGAAATATAAAGCATTAATGAATAAACTACCATCAGCTGTAACTAAAATGAATGTTTTTTGATAATAGGTACTGCACAGCCATGGTCAGTTTCAAGTCTTGGATACAAAATAAAAGCAAGGGTTCCTCATACGGCATACGTTACAGGGCTAGCTCTGGGTCTTGATACAGTTTCGCCAAAATTTATTAAAAAAAAGAAGAAGACCCCACCCTTTTAATTTTCATTTATATATCCCATCATATGCATTCTAATGTATCCTATGTATCTTAGACAGGAAATAAACTATTAAAATGAAGAAAATGTTCCATGTTTTATGACTATAAAACACTAACACTGCAAATAATTCCATTATTTTTTTTATTTCTGTGACATTCCCTGGCCTTCTGCATCCCAATTCCAAGGCCTTCTACATTCAAACAGGCTGCTCCGTGTTGCCAAAGTGCCAGGATGAAATATTTCATCTGTCAATATGAAGAAAAATATTTCTGAACATGCATATTGGAGCAAATCATTTTCACCAAAACCAAATGCTGATAATTAAGGAATTTACCATCCCTATCAATATTTGTATTATCTCCATTCTTTCACTTGATAATTTCAGTCAAAAATCATTTATTGGCAAAAATGTCTACAAACAAAATTGATCACCGCATTGCAAGAATAGCATAATTCAAGTTGTATATGTCTTTTTATGTGCATTGGCATTTTTATATCTGTTACTGCTTATCAAAATTAAAAAGAAAGTCATTAAATATCCCGCTTGCGTCCAAATGAAGCACACACAAGAGACCGTGCCTCGTTATCGCATCACTTGATTGCGTGAAGACTTCACGCAATTTACTGCAGTAAATCAAATCCAATTAAAACAACTCTTTCCAGACCTAACTTACCCTATTGTTCTCCACAGAGCACCCCTCGGAATAAGACAACATCGCTATAATTGGATAATTGGCGATTTTGATATCAAACGGAGTCGATGTGTTGACAGGTGACCTTGTAAAAACACAGGAGAGTTCCAATACATGACCATGCTATTCATAGGAAAACCATTCAGCCGTGACATCGTAGTACACAAGCGGTGTCCGGGGCTAAATTATCTCGTTGTCCTAGCACAGGTAAAACCGCTCAGCGTAACCGTGACCATTGAGGGCTTCATCATCATGATTCGCGGAGGACAATCTGCTTCGAAGAACCGCGGTGTAGCGATCACCGCGTGTTTTGGTGACATGATCACGTGACATTTGTCATCAGGGATCGCGATGACGCCGTTTTCAAGGTTCCTGATGTCGGTTTTGGGTGACAGGCCACCGCGATTGGCCACCCAAACAGATAATTGGTCATCAAGTGAACGCGACGGATTAGTTATTTCTATGGGCCGTACTGTATAAGAAAAGGTTCTTAAGCTCCTTTTTTGTTTCAGCAGTGATTTAGATCTAATCGAATTTCAACCTTAATAACCCCTTCCATTAAAAATGACCCATAGGATAACGAAGATTTGTATGGTGCGGTGCAATTTGTTATTTAGTTAATTTTTTGTGTTTTTTTTTCACACCGCATCAATTACCAAATTTTACTGGTAAAATCACATGTGTCTTAAATTCATCTTCATTCATGTACATTTTATCTTGTATTAAAAATCACAACATTTTGGAAATTCACAACATATGATATCCGAAATTAAGCATGAAAAATAGGTTTGTAGTACCGGCACTGTTTAAATGAAAATCGCAGCCCTTTATCAGTTATTAAAGCCTGACGCGGTATAACAAATATTTTTTACATTCTCGCTCATGAAAAGTTTTTGTTATACAACACAAGAATCATAATAAAAACATTGTTTACGAACATTGTTGAATACCTCGAGGAGTACCTATGGCAGCCACTAGATATAAAGTAGTCGATATGCATTAGAGATCTACTTCAGCGAGCAATCTGCAAACTGTGTTTCACATAAATGATGTTTTCATGTGAGTCGGCAATGTAAAGAAACGGGCAGTAGGCAAGTTACCCTTACAAAGCTAAAGTGATCACCATGGAGTAACATCAGGACAAGATAACGAGCCTTCTACCTCATAACCTTTCAATCCCTTATCAAATATTCAAAATGTTTCTACGTTTGATGGGTCTACCACCTGAAAGTTGCAACCATAACGAATGAATAATCAATGTTACGTAGTTTATGTAAGACTCAATTTATTCATATGTAAATGTGATGTTTATCTGTGTTGTATTAATCTTGTGAATAGATTTGAATCAGTCGGTAAAGTGACTGAAATCATTGGTGTATGTTTCGTCCATTAAAATTGTTGAACATCTTCAAATGAATGAAAGATCATCTGTATATTTTTAGAACGCGTCTATCCAGTATGAATTAAACGATACTCTTTACGTAATACATTTATTTGCATTTCTGTGTGATATGCCATTCATAGATACGTATATGCTTTATATCATTATTATATTAACTATGGGTATCCATGTGTATTCAATGCCGAAAACGTCGTTTAATTCAAAGATTAAAAGAAGGTATAACAAAAAGAAAGGAAGGTAAAACATTTTGTTTAGGACACAACTGAACGGAGCTTCCAAACAAGTACATTTTCCCATTTCTATATGTTTTATTTTATTTAGTTTATGCACTGTACGCATCCTTTCTGTCCACATCCGATACGTTAAAGCAAGCGCATGTCTTGGAGACAAAAACTACAAAAAATGTTTTGGTATATCTTTAAAACCTTCATTTATTTCAAAAAGGGCAATTTGTTAACAGTGTCGATAGCATGAACTTAATACGTGTTTAGCTGGTTATAACTAATTCTAGATGACGCTATATGAAATGCCTCGAGTTAAGAGGAAGGTTTTGTTTCTATTACAGTGATGCAGGGTGGGTTCGCCATGCTTGAGGCTGGATGCGTTAGAAGTAAAAACGCAACCAATATACTCATAAAAAATCTGCTCGACTCCTGTAAGTAACCTTTAGAACATACTTGTTTCTTATTAAAAAAACTCGATCCTATGGGAATTTGTTATTTGGTTAGGGTTAAATTAATCGCATTTATAAAATGACATTTCTGAAAACATTTACAATTAGAAACCAACCTCTTATCTTGTGTGTTATGTTAAAAATGACAAGCAAACGACAATGAATTCTCTTTAAAAACCTGCTAAACTGCCAGTTCAATAAAAAAGATTTTAATACGTTCATAACGACAGCAAATTATGTATTGATAAAAGTTTGCTTGATTAACTATTTGCAAGCACTTAATATCGAATCTATATTATTTAATGAAAACATATTCTTAAGTCGGGGAAATGGGGAATATATAGGTGTTCTTAATTCAACCCTTTAATCCCTAAGTAACATTAGTAGACTTCACCGTATTTTGATCCTGATTAGTCCTTTTTGGTCTACTTTGCTTAAAGTGTAAAATAATTGCCTGTTTCAGTCATAGCTGGTTTTTCTTACTGGCTGGTGGGCTATGCATTTGCCCTGGGGAAGGGAAACTCATTTATCGGCTATACCTATTTTGCTCACTACGGTTTACAACTGGAGAACTATTCACTGTGGTTTTTCCACTATGTTTTCGCCGCCACTGCTGCAACTATCGTTTCCGGTTCCGTCGCAGAAAGGTGCGACTTTATCGCCTACCTGATATACAGCTCAATAATAACAGGTAACGGACAATATGTTCCATTGAGGAACTTATAATAATGAGGGATTTGTCGTTATAAGGAATGTATCGTGATCAATAATTTGTCATTAAAAGAAATTTGTCATTAAAGAAAAAAGTGGTCTTTAAAAGAACTACTTCGTTTACAAAAATGGTTAACACAGATCAGATGGTCATTATTTTTTGTATGTCACTCATTGACATTATGTAGTGATTTGAGATGAATTTTACCAATTGAAGTCTCACCGTGACCTATTCACCTGGTTGTTGTTGTAGTCACCGTGACCTATTCACCTGGTTGTTGTTGTAGTCACCGTGACCTATTCACCTGATTGTTGTTGTAATCACCGTGACCTATTCACCTGGTTGTTGTTGTAGTCACCGTGACCTATTCACCTGGTTGTTGTTGTAGTCAAGCTTTCTTAATGTTCTATTTTTAGGTTTTATTTACCCTGTCCTCGTACACTGGGCGTGGACACCAGAGGGCTGGTTAGCCAAGGGTTTCACTTATGAACATAACGGGGATATACTGACCATTACATACAGAGTAAGCATCAATACAAAATACTGACAACTGTTTTTACTATTTTATTTTTGCTGTTTATCTCAATCATCTAAAAAGAATCGGATTTTAAGAAAGCAATTACCTGATTTTGTTTTACCTTCACCATGTTTCCCTCATCTTAAAGAGTGAATTGTTGTTATGTTTGTCCGTTAATATTGACATTAATGTCAATGGTCCCTATTTTTAGTTTCACGTATGCCGTCTGTCCTAATTTCCACAGGACTTCTCCGGAAGTGGTATAGTCCACATGCTATCTGGCCTCGCAGCTTTCGTCGGAGCCAAGGCGCTCGGTCCCAGGGTAGGGAGGTTCGATGACGTCACTGGTAAACCATGTGAAATACAGGGACATTCCATCGTGGTATGTTCACATTGTGATTTTAGCAAGGCACTTTAAAATTATGCTTGAGTGTCAAGTTAATCATTTAAAAAGGCAAGTAGTCTAAATACCAGTTGTGTTTTGTAATGATGAGGAATCAAGACAATATAGTGAAAGGTGGTTACACTCTCACTGGACCAGTTAAAATTGTAAATACGTTTAATGAAACACAAATATGGTCTATGTAAATAGTTTTAATCTGACACACAATTTAACTGGGGCGTTCGATTTTAATGTCTCATATGAGAGAACAAAATACAAATAATACGTATAAAGATGTGGCCTACATTTGATTACATTATCAAACATCATGGTCTTATCGTTATTATTTCAGGCCTTATTTTTTATCACGATTGCGTCAATTTAAATCAAATGATTACTAAAGGGTGTCATTGAAATATACAGTAATTAACGTTCCAGATTACATAATGAACGTAATGAATCTGACAATGCAGTTTTTAATTCCGAAAAATGGGATGCTTTTCACGATTAGTACCTTTTTATTTAGCTCCAAGAATTGCAATCGTATCAAAGGGAAATACTATTAAGAAACTCATAACTACGGTATCAAAATATCAAGAAAGATATTAACTCTACGCTGTTTTCAAATATATAGAAAAATAAACGTTTGATTTTAAAAAATAGACATTCATTCCAATTTAAAAGATCTGAATATAGTTTCATGAAAAACCAAAAATGCTCCAAAGGGCGGATCTAATTCACAGGTTATCCCTTTCTTCACTATAAAAAAAGAATTGTTATAATTCTAGTATATAATGTTGTTTAATAAGATTGTCATATTTTATTTGTCAATTTTAGTAAAACAAACAAGTATGATGTTTATTATTAAAAACTGTGTTATTTGGTCGAGTATTGTTAAGATGACAGTATACATTAATAGAATTGCCACATTTAACGTCCATGTGAAAGATATCTTTTTTTAAAGTATATTATAATAATGATAATAATAATCTACTTGATATCACAATACTAAGAAATGAATGTATTTGAATACGTGTTTCATATTGAACAGTTGTCTGCCCTTGGCGGGTTTATCCTGCTGTTTGGGTTTCTCGCCTTTAACGCATCGGCCGTTGGAACACTCTCCGGAGAAGGTCAAGGAGAACTGATGTCAAAGATAGTGACCAATACCATCATGTCCGGTTCTTCGGGTGGTCTTGTGGCCATGGTAACGAAATACATCACAGGAGATTCAAAATGGCAGTTTACTATTACACTCAATGGATCTCTTGCTGCTATGGTGAGTATGCTTTTTTGTTATCTTAGTCTGTTCAATGAACCGTATTATGTGTGGTTTACATTTTCAATAAACCGTAGTTTGTGTGGTCAACAAAGTTCAATTAACCGTAATATGTATGTTTAACATTGTTCAATGAACCGTATTATGTGTGGTTAACATTGTTTAATGAACCGTATTATGTGTGGTTAGCATTAATCAATTAGCCTTAGTTTGTGTGGTCAACAGTATTCAGTCATTTTTAGGATGGCCGTATCAATGATACAGTTTATTGACGCTGCCATATATATATATCTAAAACAGGTGAAGCGATTTTCTGTTTTACGAGAAATATTCAAGGGTATATTATTTTAGCGGTTTGTATTTTTTGTTTAATTGATATCAATTGGTGGTGTGCTACCTTTAGATCGATCATATATAAGCGGTTTTTATACATAGCCCATACAATTTCAATATGTGTTGGGTTCTCTCGCAAAATCACCAGCTACTTTTAAAAAGTGTTATAATTAGCATAGCTATCGTAAAAAGGACTGGAATATGCATGATGAAAACGAGTCTTTCATTATAATATACATTTAAGATGATTATAGAATGAAGAGCTTTACATTCCATAGATACATACTAGTCATAAAAGTATTACAAAGTATTAATGGATATAGTTTATCGGTGTTCAGAGGAACTGCTCATCAGGATGCCTTAGTACTTCCCCTATGCCACTTGCCAATGTACTTCCCCTATGCCACTTGCCAATGTACTTCCCCTATGCCACTTGCCAATGTACTTCCCCTATGCCACTTGCCAATGGGTAACTCCCCCTTAAACGTGTGACTATCATGTTTTATACAAAATTACTTGAGAGTCAAATTCTTTGTCACATTCGTTATAATCTGTTAAATATTGATACACTGTATTAAGTTCCGTTATGATGGACACACTTCCTTAATTTACATGTGTATAAGCCAATAGTTATTGCATCGTGTTAATCCAGATGTGGCTGTAAATCATACCTGGACAAACATCTATGGTAAATGCAGGTTGAATGTCATGTAGAAGGGTTGGGAAATGTATGATGAAACTCCTTCTGTGATTGGTTGGTTTCAGTGTGCTATTTGCGGCTGTGTGGACAACATACATACATATATAGGTAAGGCTTATATAATTATATAGTCAAAGTGATGACAATGTAGATAACACTATTTTATCCACTTTCTTGAAGACAAAGTTACATCGGGCATGCAGTTACTGGTGTATCAACATATATGCCGCCATTAACGCTTAAAATGTGCTCCGTTTACGTTTTTATTATACATAATAGATATATTTATATTTAAACATAATTTTGTAAAACCTGAAGAGCCCTGTGAAGGGTGAAAGTAGCTAGTTTTCAGTCGGTAATTTAATCTATTTTTTTCTATATTTATATTTATATACATCATATAACATAATATAACTGAGGATATACATGTACATGCAGAGGAAGAGACGTACATTGATGGTGTTAGCGTATTGATACTATCGTTTCAAGTATCTGTCCACAATACATATTTCTGTTGAATTTCCTTTACTTGCACTATCTGCATACAATATGGAGTAGTGCAATAGGTGTTTAAACTGTTTGTGAAGAACAAAACATATGCATCGCTCACATACTACACTGGTAAAAGTGTATGACAATACAAGAAGGCAAAACTACTACTGCCGATTCGTTTGGGGGGAAACGTTTCTACTTATGTCAGCGTCGATTAACTTGAGACCAAAGGGGATGGATTTATGTACTCTGCTTAGGGGAAAAGAAATCGAAATTAACCTACTGCCCACATCGCAACATTTATTACATTTTCGCACTTCTTTACTTCTTCGTTTCGACGGTGTCTCCCTTCCTAACCGTCTTTATATAAACTTGTCAACCCCCATACCAACAGGGCCAACACCATTCTCACCTATAACGACTGGATACATTTTGTTGATACTGGCTAAATGACAGCTAATGATACCATTGCTCTACTCAGACTTTAGAGAGTGTGGCTGCGTTAAAAGCACGGTATGGTTATACATTTTACTCTCGTCGTTTGGGCATCTTATGTCAGATTCACAAATAGGGTCGTTCTCTAATTCCAAATATAATACAATTTTTAGTTTTGTTCGGTTTTCTGTTTTAATGTTATTGGTTCATATCTTTAAACGTATAATTTTGTAAAGGATTCATTTTTATTTTTCCAGATAAATATTCGTTTTTGCAGGGAAAATCAATTCGATATTTTTTACTGTGACAAATATCGCGTTTTTGTTTATTTTTCACACTAAATTGAGTAATAAGAAAGCTGATTTAAGTAATGGGGGTTGAGTTTCTATTCAAAGAAGCCTATTTTGTATAAAAAAGGTAACGTAATTAACAGAATATCAATGATGTCATAACAAATAAAGTTGGTATGTCAATCAAGGATTTAATTTCGTTCGTGCTGTGCACTCGTGAAAATATCAATTCAAGAATTCCCTCTCTATTCTCGGAAGTAAAACCAAACTTTATTCATACTGAGGAAGAACAGTGCCTCCTACCTGAAAGTTATCTACATTGTTACTTGAGTGTTACTGTCAGTTCCTCTTGTAACCAAAAATGTAGGCCAGTTGACTAACATATATCGTTATCATAGATACTTACAGGTATTGATAAAAACTAGTTGTGTTCGTTTGTCCCCAGCTGTGGTTATAGGGGCAATAGGAGGAGCAAGCTATGTGTTCTTCAACTGGTTTGTCCTCCACAAATGTCGAGTCGATGACCCTCTGGATGCTGTAGCAGGTAAGATTTTCACTTTGGTTTTGAAACTGTAGAAAATGCATTTATCTTACTCTGTGCTATAACAGAATAAATATAGTCAAATGGACGCGAAAATAGGAACTTATTCTCCACCGGACGCAGCATACAGACCTGTACATAATTATCACTGGACTTAATTCTATGAACATAAATCCGACTTGGCACTTAAACAGGTACATATGTTCCACTTGATGCTACCGCAGGTACATACACCCTAGTGTAGGATATTATAGGATAGTTTATGCCACTGGAGGCTTCAACAGGATTATACGATAAAACAAATACTTGTATATATCCCACTCAATGCTGTAGATGCTATGGCTTGTTCATTTATCCGAACAAACGTTCTCTATTTTCAAGAAAAGTATTTATATATAACATCCGTGTCATGTCTGAGTTAATACGCTAGGTTTCCCTGTGTTTTAACTGTCATCTTACTTATCTTATTCTGATATGTTAGAAAACACACGTTATCAAATGCTTCACCATTGAATCATGAGTTCTTTCCCATACATTTACATATACATTTCTATGTATTTTAAATTCCGCTGTTATTAATATGTATATAGGTTCAACAAGTGACCTGAATTACTTCATGAAGATAGCCTATATTTTGTTGATAATTTTGTTTGAAATCCCTAAAAACAGTGTCAACAAGAATACAAAATTTAATCTCTAAACAATTAAGAAGAGAATGTGACATGTACTCACTAAATGCTTACTCAATTTTTAATCTCCGGGCACCTGGAAGACTCATACAGTCAAATAATTCGCTCAACTTTAGCGAATATTATATAGGGCATCTACCAAAATCACAATTTACTGTTTCAAGTTGCTTTCGTTTTGCAACCCGTTTCTATTTTAAGCTTTAACGACGAATAACTGCCTTCTTTCATCCCAATAGTCCATGGTGTTTTGAATTGAGATACACTAGTGAAATTAATTCCCAATACGCCAGAAACACGTCATAGATATTAATATATGAAGAAAAGAAAGTTTAAAATAGCTTTTAGGAGGATTCATCCTTTCCTAATAAACAAGAAAATTACAAGAAAAAAAGCAACAACATTAACAACAGCCGCAACAAAAACATAAAACAAAACATATATGGTATTTGAAAATTTAAAATGTTCTTGTTTTATGGTATTGTTAGGAACTATAATAACAATAGGAAAAATATGTTCATAGCAAATATTATATTTATAACAAATATATAATAAATGGAATTCAATTAAATATTAATTCTAATTTTCCCATCTACTTTTCATAAAAGGTTTTCATGATTGAACAAAAACAAGTATTTTGCATTTCTAAAGTGTTTAAACTTTCCAGACAAACCAAGTTCATTTTTTTCGATGACAAATATCAAATATAGTGTTATGCTCTCTGAAAAGCAAGTATTATTATTACCTTCCGAAAATGATATGAACATTTGAAACAATTAATTGTTCCTTTAAAGAATCAAATTAGTCTCATTTATGTAAAAAGGGACATTATTACAACAGTCCGCATGTGTCTGGTACTATACACGTCACTTACATTTAAACAGAGTCTATCGCATGGTGTGTGGTTCTCACGTTTGACAACACATGGATTTTCATAGGAATCTTGATATTTACAAAAACACTCTAGTTCTACTGAGTCAGTGCAGCTCAACTGTATGGAAGATGTATCCGCTAGAGCGTAACGTCCCCGTGTACTGCTGTATACACGTGATTGGTTCATGTTAGGCTAGTGCACATAACACATATCTCCGCATTTCATATATGACCTTGAAGTCATCTGGTCCAATGCCAGTGTCGTCCTGTGAGTCACGACATGTATTTTTATCGGAAGTGTTATTCATGAAGTACTTTTGATCATTGCATAAGGCATCTCCTTTTAGCCTCGATACCATTTGTTGACATGCATTAATACCATACACGAGTACTAGTGTTCACATGGTGGTACACGAACAGACAACAAGATAACTATTTATATCGCGAAGTGTGGAAAGCCCTTAAGGATCCCACTGCCAGAAATTGTAACCAAGTATTTGAAATTGTTCGTTCCGGAATGATAGTGGCTTTAATAAATGATTTCTCTAAGAAGAAAATCACAGTTTGTGAGGCTTGTATGAGAAATACTTAAAATGAAATAAACAAATTATAATCAAAGATAGTATATTGATTAAGGACAAACAATTAAGACTTAGATGCTGACCCCGGACTCCAGATTGTTATACTTGTTATACTAACCGATTGAGCAGCTTGATCAACAGAAGCGTCCAGACCAGTTGTGCTTCGAAAGTTAAGGGGAGGTAACTGTGTATAGAAAACCGCAATAGGACGTGGATCTTTACGCTTAAAAAATGTCAAGAGGACTGGTTTGTTGGAATGTCAAGGTCGAAATAATGCATTCCTCTCATCCCAAGCTGTTAACGGTTTGGTCTTACTGTACATACATTTTGAGCGTTTCAAAACAATTTGACAATAGTCCCTTAAAGGGGCATCACGCTGAAGTAACTATTTTTTTGTCTGAAATAGATTCATAAAAATGATTAAATCTAAAATAATCATCTACCTGTCTGACCAACGTTTTGTTCATGGATTTCCCTCTACTAGCGCATGCGCATTGCACACCATTTCTTTGTAAACAAAATGACTGGCCGTGTGAAGTAAGCCAAAGAAAAGTGTTGGACCGTGTGAGCTACGAAGCCAAAAGTTGCCAAATGGTCAAAAGATAACGCAAGGAGTACGTTACGGAATCATTATTTCAGGTGGGAAGTATTCAAAGGAGAAAATAACTACCCTAGCAGTTAGTACGCTGCATGTATTCTTCCGGATAGCCGGTTAAGCTGAAATGGAATCGACAGAAATGCTAGCGCTGTTTATGTTATGAATAAATATTTAAAACTATTAACCTCGCAAGTATCTTTGTCTGAGTTTGAACACAGATGAACTTAGTTTAATATGTCAATGGGCATGTATCGGAGAGAGTTTACTTTGTGTTTCTATAATTATACAGTGGTTTATGCGAAAGGGAGGGATAAGTGACTGGTTAGTTTGATTTTGTCATGAGGCCCTCAAAGGGTTAACTGTTGTGATGGCCACGGCGTATTCTGTCTCTGTCGGTACTCGTGATCGGGGTCAAATGAGATACGTGCGCTTTTAGATTGTGATAATTTATAATATTACCGGGTTCAGTAAAATGGTATGATTTAATTATATTGCTGAATTAAACGATTTTTTGTTTGATTTTACATACAAGATTTAAATTAGTACTAATATGAATACCCGGCTTCCTCTGGCGCAACGACGCAATATATAAAAAAAAATATCGTCGTCAGAAAGCTACATTATCGCAGCTAGATTAAATATGTCAAAATGACGGTCCAGGATGAATAAGTGAGGAAAGAGAACCTACTTCTAGTAAATAGGATCACGTAAATCGTAACATGTCAACAGTTCATGTTTTCATATGTTGTTGACTTAGAATGTATGATCATGTAACAACCTTTTCTCTATAAGGAATTAATTTTCGACTTCAGATAGAATCGGAATACGTATTGAAAACAAGGGAAGACACATTTGTTTACGTTGTAAAAATGACGCGTGCTGCCGATAACTACGACTTCTGTTTCGGACAAAAATGAAATGATTAAAGAAAAGTCGGCTCATTGACAAGAATGCTTTAATCTATGAAAAGTATTGAAAAAATATAATTATCAAGTAGCTCAACACGTCCCATATCTGACACATATTCTACATGTACACGTAGTTGTTTTGCCATACAGTTTAGTGTGTGTGATGGCTAATATAACTTACTAAGTGTTCGCGTATGGAGACAGAAAAAGTGGGGAGAGAGAGTATACATACATTTGTATGCATGGTATAGAAAAAAAATTGGCCAAAGATATTGAGTTGTACAATGTAATAAAAAAAATCACAAACGTTTCTCTTTTTTAAAAGCGTGTAGTTTGTCATTGCATATATGCACTTTATGAAAACATTTGAAAAGGGATATTCGTCTCGTGAATATTCCTTTTTACCGAAAGGTTTTCCCATGGTTGAAGAAAGGTGTTTAGCCCCATACAGATGTCACATTCCAGTACTAAATTCAATATATATTTATATATATATACTTTATGTTTATGTCTATTATCATTGTTGACATTTAATTGTAAATGTACAGATGTGGGATCGCACAACGTTACACGATGTGCGGTGTGCGCACGATGTGTGCACGGTGTGTGAACGGTGTGTGCACGATGGGCGAACGATAAAAAGCTGAACGATCTTTGCTTGCGCACATATGTGCGCACGATGGACGGACGTTGTGCGATAACAATCGTGGTTGGTGTAAATTGAGGAATGCCTTAACAGTTTAAACGGTTTCGTGTTTAAACATATAAACTTGATGTTTACGTATGCTTCTATATTCTAGCAACATCTATAAACTTATCTTTCTGTCTATATATTCTTTTATTTAGGAATTGTGTTCTCTGCGTTTTTAAACAAACTTAATCGACACATGTAAAATTACAACACAATCCCGTATACAGGTAAACATAACCACTTTTTACATGTACCTGGACCGTAGTTTTCTCCCCGCCTGGGGCATTTACGTAACTCGTCGGGTAAGGCCGGAGGTGTGAAAATCCAGGTGAAGGGGAGCTATAGGCAAACGAATGCAAATAACAGATCCTATTCATTGCGGTCAAACGGTATCGTATATCAGCTCTGTGTGTCAGGCACTGGTCAGGTAAAACTCCGGACACTCATAAAATTGTTATTTACCTGTTCTGTTACCTTGGAGCCAAACCCATTCTTGACAGCCTAACGGTCGCTGTAATAATGTGTAACACGAATTGTGAAATTGTATAATCTTGATTATTGTTATGAGAAATTACAGATATATACACAGTGTAAATTATCGCATACAAGCCTTCCGTATTTTTGTCATTCCGTAATTTTGATCTACAAATGATACCAAATCGCACAGTTGTTCGGAGAGAAGCACACAACGGGGCGAACGATTGCTTAATCGCACAGTTGTGCGCACCATGTGTGGACGATGTGCGGACGGTGTGTGAACGATGTATGCACGGTGTGCGCACGCTATTTTTGGTGCGTTGTGCGGTCCCTCAACTGTATGATGGGGGAAGGCTGTGATAAATTGTAAAAACGTGTGCCCCATCCCTTGTTCAATTTTATTGGCAACAAATATGTTTAAAGCTAAATAAATTTAAATTCTGAATATCGGCAAGTGTGCAATTAACTTCTGATGATGGATAACTACTGTTCAATAAGTTTTAATACGGACTTAGAAATCATATTACTTGGTTTCATAGTGCGGTAAGAAGTTGCAGTTGCCTGACGCCCCTCTCTGGGGGCCCCTTTGGAAACTCTTTATTGATGAATAATTGTTTGATGTGAATGACCTATTTGTTATACAGCAACTATAATGAATGAAGTATTATTAGGATCAGTCTACTCCCTCTTTCTTTTCTTTATGAAATATTTTTGAATATTTTTTCTTTGCAGTTCATCTGGGTGGCGGATTTATTGGTGTCCTTTCTGTAGCGTTTTTCCATAACGAGGTCGGGATTTTCTTTAACTGGAACATGGAGTCTGGTTTGGTATGTCTCCGGTACTAAGAAAACTTGTAAGATAAGCATGTTCAAGTTTTCTTTGTTTTTAACTTTTTTGTATTTACATTATTTGGAAATAGTGTGAGTAAGTTCTTCTTTTAGAATGTATGTGTTGTTACAGAAAGGTGGTTTAACCATTCAGTATTATCGTTGTAATCTTCTTACGTCTTGTCAACAGCCTAGGTCACATGGAGACGTATTTTGTTCATTTAAGTTTAGATAGTATACAAAATTTTGTGTTCACCAATGATCTAAAATTTCACGAACAAATCTTAAATTAGTGAGAACATGAATGTATCCTTGCTTGTAATTAGACCCATCCTTTAGGGGTTGTGCTCACTTTCGTTCTCTGCATCCCTGAAATATTTCATGACAAAAATGAAGGCTCAGTGTTCGTCACCCTGTGAATGAGACGAGAAGACTAGTTTGATTCACACCAAAAGATTAACTCGGTGGCGTAAAATTGATTTACTTTGAAGTCAGACGATGCTCCTCTTTAATCTTAAAAGGACAGGTATCAGCCTTTCGATTGGTCATGTATTTTTTTTACCTGCGACCAGTCAAATAGCTTACTTCGTGCCTTCAATTTTGCTATGACATATTCCGGGAGCGCAGAGAGCGTACCCCGTGGAGTAGCAAGGATGAATGAGGCCATAAAAATCAAATAATATTTCACCATAAACCCAGTAAGCTTAAAAAATCTTCGACAAATGAAAACTCTTGTTCTAAAGTTAAATGTGGGGAAGCATTTGCGAAAAAAGGGAAATGTCCCTCACTAAATGTTTTGGTCTTTTTCACTAAATTTGCTTTGCTATTAACAAAACTATTATGTAGAGAACGTTCTTGAAACTTTGGCCAGTGCTTTCGGATGTTTACAGACACTTGCCTGGCAGTGTGTCGGGATTCTGGCCGTTGTGGGATGGACAGGCGGAATGTGTGTAATAATGTTCTACACACTGAAGGCATTGAAGATACTTCGAGTTCCTCTGGAATTCGAATTAAAAGGTATTCATTAAAAGAATAACTGTATTTATTTAATCATCACATTTAAATTTGTGCAAATGAAGAAAACAGAAATAAAGTAGAAATACAATATGATTCAATATGAAGCAACCTACTTATATTATAATATCATAAGTCCAAGTATAATACAATTGCATATGTTTCACTATTGTACAATGTTATTTGTTTCACTGTAGTATGATTAAATGTGTCTAATAGTGATATACTGTTATAGCTTAATTATAATTTAAGTTAATGTCACAAACTCTAATATAGTTGAAGTGTCTTAATACAATTTAATATGCCTAACTTGTATTAAATTTAATCTGTTTTTATATGATAAATATTGTTTAATCTTTTTTTACTATGATAAAATGTAATCATTATACATCAGTATCTTTTCAATTGTGTATGCCTTTTTGGTATCATATGTTACAAAAAGAAATATACAAAATATCTGCTTTTGACTTATTATATAAATGCTTAGATATTTAACTGATTACAGCATATCGTATTTAGCTGGCGTTTATAACAAATACAATGTAACCTTATTGAAGTGTAAATAACATATACAGTATACAGCTTAACGTTCGTAGAGGGCCCATATACAAATTTGTCATAAACAAGCATTATCAATAAGAAGGCTTACTGAAAGTACACGATTCACTTTATTGATTAGTATGACGGGACGTTTCTGTTCCTATTTCACCTTCACCATATTCAAACAATATATCAATGCTTACTGTATAACGGGATAATTTCGCTGCAGTGTAATTTTCGCCCTTTTCGCCCTGCGAATTTATCATTACATTAAACATCAAGAAACAACATAACAGAGTCATTAAATGTAACTGAGGAAGTTAACACTGTATCAAAATGGGTTTCACCGGTGAAGGGCGAAAGTTTGATTGGACGAAAAATTCACGGTATACCATAAGCATCCTGCCTTTTCTTTCAGGCATTGACATCCCAAAGCATGGCCAGCATGCCTATCCGTTGGAGGCTTACGGAAACGAATGGGGGTTACCGGAGAAGGCAGATGTCATTGTACTACCTAAAGACGAGGACAAAGGTAAATATGACGTACTAACACTAGATGTAACGGAGTTACCGCACTTACTTTTGTGATTTGTTAAAGCGCTTTTGTCATAGCATAACTTATTTATATAAATGTCACGGCTTCAGCGTCAATGAACAATTTGATAAGGTCCTTTATGCAGCGAAACTTTGTGCTCTTACTGAAATTATTAGTAATATGTGTCGTTTGATGTTTATTTCAATTGTATATTTTACTGGTTTTCTATCCAAACAGGTGCAAGAAACAGGAAATCAAATGGAAGCAACTTGGCGGCCTCAAATGGATCCCTTGCATCCGACGTCACAATGACAACAAATATATGACATTTGCGTATCTCACATCTCTAACATGACTTGTATATGACGTATTTGTATCAGACGTCACCATATCGACATATATGAAGTATTTGCTTTTGACGTCATCGCCATCACAGATTATGGCGACTTTGTATCTGACGTCATCATATCGACAAACATATGTGGTTGATAAAAATTAAGAAATAGCATGCAAACAAAATTATCAAACTTAAATCTTCCTCATTAAATTACTCTGCCATGTTTCAGCCAAAGTTCCATGGTTATCTATTTATCTAAAAGTAGTGGACACATTGAGAACTTCATTTGTTTTTTACAGACTTTAATTATGTGCACTTTAGCTATACGAAAATATACATACACGTACTGTATACACAGAGTAAATGTTAACAAAAAGCTTTGCCTGGGACCAGATACCAATTAATTACCAAGTAACGGATACATGTTTTGTATCAACCTTAAAGGAGGCGTGACTTTCCACTCAAAGTGTAACAGACACCATATACAAAGGAAAGTTCAGTTGTGGTAAGACATCGGTGATTGACTCCATTCAAATCTCTTTATATATGTACTTGTACTGTACCTTATATCACAACCCGATTATTCATAGATTTCCTGTCGTTTTAATAATATGTTAATAAATAAAGTACAAAAGATATCAATCCGATGTAGTAACACGTATACGACGTAGTATATTTCAATGGAGCGTTCCAGATATTTTCAGATCGTAACATCGATAAACCGAACCATATACCACAATGATACGTGTGCGTGTGCACTTTTTGAGGACGATGTGCGCACGATGTATGCGCGATAAGCACACATTAATTTAAAACGTTTTGCAAGCCACCACCTGTATATGCCATATTTGCATCTGCCGTTACCACCACAACACATATGTTACATCTCTATATCAGACATCACCACAACGACTCATTTTTGACAACGTTGTATCTGACGTCATCACAACGACCCATGATGACATCTTTGTATCTAACGTCACCACGACCTTTTAAAAACAGCTTTGTTCTGACGTCACCACAACGACACATATATGACGTATTTATTTCTTACGTCACAACAACGACACATATTCGTATGGCATCCTTATATCTGACGTCATCACAACAACCTTTGAATGAAATATTTGTATCAGACGTCACCACAACGACACATAATGACCTCTTTGTTTCGGATGTAAACAAAACGACACATGAACGACATATTTGTATCTGAGGTCACCACAACGACATATGATGCCATCTTTGTAACTGACGTCACCACAACGACAAATATATACCATCTTTGTATCTGATGTCAACCACCATTGCACATACAGAATATTATTTATGGCTCACGTCACCACCATGACACATATATGACATCTTTGTAGCTGACGTCACAACCATGACACATATATGACATCTTTGTAGCTGACGTCACCACCATGACACATATATGACATCCTTGTAGCTGACGTCAACACCATGACACATATATGACATCCTTGTAGCTGACGTCACCACAATGACACATATATGACATCCTTGTAGCTGACGTCACCACCATGACACATATATGACGTCTTTGTAGCTGACGTCACCACCATGACACATATATGACATCTTTGTAGCTGACGTCACCACCATGACACATATATGACATCTTTGTAGCTGACGTCACCACCATGACACATATATGACATCTTTGTAGCTGACGTCACCACCATGACACATATATGACATCTTTGTAGCTGACGTCACCACCATGACACATATATGACATCTTTGTAGCTGACGTCACCACCATGACACATATATGACATCTTTGTAGCTGACGTCACCACCATGACACATATATGACATCTTTGTAGCTGACGTCACCACCATGACACATATATGACATCTTTGTAGCTGACGTCACCACCATGACACATATATGACATCTTTGTAGCTGACGTCACCACCATGACACATATATGACATCTTTGTAGCTGACGTCACCACCATGACACATATATGACATCTTTGTAGCTGACGTCACCACCATGACACATATATGACATCTTTGTAGCTGACGTCACCACCATGACACATATATGACATCTTTGTAGCTGACGTCACCACCATGACACATATATGACATCTTTGTAGCTGACGTCACCACCATGACACATATATGACATCTTTGTAGCTGACGTCACCACCATGACACATATATGACATCTTTGTAGCTGACGTCACCACCATGACACATATATGACATCTTTGTAGCTGACGTCACCACCATGACACATATATGACATCTTTGTAGCTGACGTCACCACCATGACACATATATGACATCTTTGTAGCTGACGTCACCACCATGACACATATATGACATCTTTGTAGCTGACGTCACCACCATGACACATATATGACATCTTTGTAGCTGACGTCACCACCATGACACATATATGACATCTTTGTAGCTGACGTCACCACCATGACACATATATGACATCTTTGTAGCTGACGTCACCACCATGACACATATATGACATCTTTGTAGCTGACGTCACCACCATGACACATATATGACATCTTTGTAGCTGACGTCACCACCATGACACATATATGACATCTTTGTAGCTGACGTCACCACCATGACACATATATGACATCTTTGTAGCTGACGTCACCACCATGACACATATATGACATCTTTGTAGCTGACGTCACCACCATGACACATATATGACATCTTTGTAGCTGACGTCACCACCATGACACATATATGACATCTTTGTAGCTGACGTCACCACCATGACACATATATGACATCTTTGTAGCTGACGTCACCACCATGACACATATATGACATCTTTGTAGCTGACGTCACCACCATGACACATATATGACATCTTTGTAGCTGACGTCACCACCATGACACATATATGACATCTTTGTAGCTGACGTCACCACCATGACACATATATGACATCTTTGTAGCTGACGTCACCACCATGACACATATATGACATCTTTGTAGCTGACGTCACCACCATGACACATATATGACATCTTTGTAGCTGACGTCACCACCATGACACATATATGACATCTTTGTAGCTGACGTCACCACCATGACACATATATGACATCTTTGTAGCTGACGTCACCACCATGACACATATATGACATCTTTGTAGCTGACGTCACCACCATGACACATATATGACATCTTTGTAGCTGACGTCACCACCATGACACATATATGACATCTTTGTAGCTGACGTCACCACCATGACACATATATGACATCTTTGTAGCTGACGTCACCACCATGACACATATATGACATCTTTGTAGCTGACGTCACCACCATGACACATATATGACATCTTTGTAGCTGACGTCACCACCATGACACATATATGACATCTTTGTAGCTGACGTCACCACCATGACACATATATGACATCTTTGTAGCTGACGTCACCACCATGACACATATATGACATCTTTGTAGCTGACGTCACCACCATGACACATATATGACGTCTTTGTAGCTGACGTCACCACCATGACACATATATGACATCTTTGTAGCTGACGTCACCACCATGACACATATATGACATCTTTGTAGCTGACGTCACCACCATGACACATATATGACGTCTTTGTAGCTGACGTCACCACCATGACACATATATGACGTCTTTGTAGCTGACGTCACCACCATGAGACATATATGACATGTTTGTAGCTGACGTCACCACCATGACACATATATGACATATTGTTATTACAAATCACCACCTCGTCACATATGTGACATCTTTGTATCTGACGTCATCACCACGACACAATTGTGCCATTTTTGGATCACACGTTACCACCACGACTTATACGACACATTTATGACAACCACCACTACAAATATATTACATATTTGTATCTATTTAGTTTATTATCGTATATTTAAGTATATTGTTATCGCAGAGTCCCTAATCATCACATTTGTTTTCATATCCTTCTCTTAATTAAGTCATATTAAACAGTGACCAGCGGTCATTTGACCACATTTGGCTTTGTCATAACTCAGTTTATAGCATATTTGTCTATTTCTTATTATCTGAAAATAATTTTAGATATACCTTTGAAACCAAATGTCTTGTAAAAGTCGAAATTATCCCGTTCGAGGTCTTTGCCACCACTCATTTTTACACAAATATCTCCATTCGGAAACAGGTAACAACAATTATACTGATATCATACCGTTATTACGTAAAAACCCGGTGAGACGGTTGAAAACGGGCCAAGATCCCTAACGCGCTACCATTCGGGGCAACAAGAATGATTAATATAAGTTGATACAGATTGTTTAATATCATTGTAAAGTAAATAAAGTTTACATAATTAAATATTAAACACCATTTGTTACTACGTACAATCCAAATAATTTTGGCATGAAAACAGAATTTAATTTAATTCAAAAGCTGAGAACATATCTGCTGTCTACATTTGAATTTGGCATGAATGCATCAAATGCATCAAAGTTATTATAACAAAAAATGAAACCATGGTGTTATACATTAGTTGTTAAGTGTAAAGACTACTTTTGTTTTCAGAATAGAAAAATAAACCAGATATCGAATGTTATTTGGAGAATGTCATTTATTCTTAATTATGCAGACAGTGTGTAAATGTTTACATCAGATGAACAGAATGAAAACTATAACTACACATGAATGTACAAAGACAACAATGGGAGGATAATGGATTCAATTTATCCGAGTTTGAAAACACCAATTTTATATATCACCTATTTACAAGATAAAGGGAGGTGATACGATAACAAGAAAACATGAAGAACAGTAACTCATTGACGCCTACAAACCAGGTTGAATACAAATTAATGCGACTAAACAGCTGACGCTCAAAGTGGAAGCGGCATTGATGTTCATCGATTGATAATGTGTCACAAACATAATTATAACATACCACCTACCTACAATGAGACAAATACACACACATCGATATACAGAGACATGTGTTTAAATCTATTAATAACAGCAAAATCATAAATCGTTGATAAGGAACCGATTCTCCAGAAGCGATGCTAACACAGAGAATGGCTACATGCCTCATTAACTCTGGTTCATATATTTAAGATCGATAATAATGACTGACTTCACCACTTATTAAAAGAAAAAGACAATGAATAGTGTAGTGCAATATCTATACTTACCCATACTACC